AATGGAGTGGGAGTGGGTTTTTCTTGTTTTTGTTTTTATGTATGCTAATCATGGGGCTTGAACTCAGGGCCTGGGCACTGTTCTTCAGCTTTTTGGCTACAGGCTAGCATTCTACCACTTGAGCCACAACTCCATTTCTGGCTTTTTGTGGTTAATTGATGAGTCTTGTGGACGTTTTTGCCCAGGCTGGCTCTGACTCTCAATCCTTAGATTTCAGTAGCTAGGATTATAAGCCAGAGCCACTGGTATTACACACAGAGGTAACGAAACATCTTCTGGTGAGTTTCCCCCTCCCCCCTTCTCCCAGTACTCAGTCCAAATCTCCAATAACCTAATGTTAACATGAATACATTTCCTATCACTTGGTCATTGGTCATTACTTCCCAGTGTTAGGTCCTCCTATGTTTCTGACAATCTGTCATCCTTTACATCATTTCAGATCAGTCATGAGGCCCATGAGATGGCAGTAACAGAAGTAGAAGTAGTATTAGGTAGTAGTCCTTGGCAGGAAAGTGATTTGAGTCTAACAGTTTTGAGGCTGAAAGGTTAATGGCACGAAGCACAGAAATGGCAGTGAGGAGGACTGTCTTTGACAAATTCTTAACCACTTCCCAAGTTTGGCTCTCCCCTTATTTACACGTGTGAAGGTAGATGAGTATGAGTGACTTCAGGTTGAACATATCCACATTCTACTGTGTTTGCATGCATACTGTTTTTCCCATGCAGATACTGGAAGCTTGAACTCAGGGCCTCATACTCTCATTTGTTCCACCCCCCGCCCGCCCCCCAACTCAAGGTGGGTACTCTGCCACTTCTGGCTTCTCATTGGCTACTTGGAGATAAAAATCTCTTGAATTTGCCTGTCCAGGCTGGCTCCAAATTGTTAAGCCTAGATCTCAGCCTCCTGAGTAGCTACCTGGCTCTGTCATAATACTTTTAAAGTAAGGATTACAAGATTTCTGGGCTTTTTCCCACTCAAAGAACGAAGTGTGCCTTGGTCTTCTCCAAGTCATTATCCCTCAGCAGCCAGGGCGTGCTGGAAGAATGAGGGGGAGGAATCAGCTTTAACTTGGAGTTATTTATGAAGAGTATTTTGTAGTATATTGTCTGTAGGCTTCATCTGGCAGCCAGTCATTCATCTCAGACAGAAAGACAAGACTAATTTGATAGGCTGTATGTACTTGTCAAATTACTTGTCATTTGCACTTGTTATATTGGATTTACAGAACAACTTTTGTGCAAAGAAAGGCTCCAATGGATTCTGGGGGGCCCAAGCAGCCCATCTTCCTGCACAGATGGGATGTGATGGAGTCCCTTGAAAGGCGGGGGCGGGGGGAGGGAGGAGTGATCACTCAAATATGTTTAGTGGATCAATGGAGTGGCTGCTCTTCTGTGAGGTTGATAAACACCTTAAAGAGGGAGTTTTGGGGAATTATTTCCACTATTATCTGGTTTAAGACAAGCTTCACATTACTCCCTGAGGAAGTTTTCAGAATATCAATGCCAGAGAAAAAAGTCCACATGTTAATTTCCAGGATGTTCTGTTATCAAATCTCTTAATTGCCACACAAATAGTGTTTCAATAGGTTTGTTATATTGTGATTTCAATTTGGAAGTTTATTTTTTTCCTTTGATTTTTTTATACATCCAGAATAACACAAATAACCAACAGTTCATTTTGGTTTTTTTTTTTGCACATTCATTTCCCCTAGAACAAAAAGTGAACTTAAAAAAAATTGGAACCATGCTATTAGCTGTTTACAAAAGTCAGTAAGAAAGAAATAGTTCGTTTAAAAGTCTAAAATAAAGTAGAAAGAAGCACTTTTTTCTACAGTATTTAGCAAACATAAAGTCCTCAGAAACATACAAAAATTGAAAAAAATTATTACAGGCATTAACAATACTTTATAATGAAGCTTAAAATCTATTTACATACATAAATACAATTAACTTTGTTGATGCAACCCTTCTGGAGGAGAGAAATAAAAGCCAAATGATCAGCTTTATCAATACTGACCTAACTTGAAGGGAGGGAAGAAATTCCCAACAACCAACCGACAACAATGAAAAAAATCCCAAATAATTGTATACTGTAGGGTAAACAGAAAGATATTTTGTTCAGATGTAAAAAAGAAAGTTTTCTTGAGATTGTCAAACCATTTTTTTTCATGTACAAAAGATCCCAAACATGTCATTCCCCCCCAGCAAAAAAAACAAAAAACAAAAAACAAAAAAAACCAAACCAAAACAAAAAACAAATCCCAAACCATCAAAACCCCAAATCACTAGGATGGAATGTCCCAAGGAAACAGGTATTTCAAGAAAGAAATCTGCAATCCTAAATCGTAGGACAGTTAAGTGTAACCATTCATTTCCTTTCTAATCAGAGCACTTCTGTTTATCTGCACAGAAACCTTAGGCAGCAGAAAGGCTAACTCACTGATTGTGATTTGCCAAGGAGGAAGATTTCTGTTGCTGTATTTGGACAGCAAGCAGATCCAAAATGGTTGGCAAGGTCTCTATTCTGCTGGAAGAAACCCATGAACAGGAGAAAGGCTGACTCAGACTGTTCTCTATGCAAAAGGAGAGCTGGATCTCCTTGTGGTCTGGACCTTGGTTATAGGATGGGTGTGTACCACCTCTTTACAGAGACTGAGAGAATGTAGGATGGAGACTAGCATTTGGAGGCGGAGGGGAAGAGGAAAGGGAGGGTTTGAGAAGGGAGGAAAACATTTCCAGATAGAAAAACAGAACTGAAACGTGTCCATGTTGAATTTTTATAAAATGGGGTCATAAATACGCAGTAGAAAGGGCTTATTCACTCTCTTCTCCTGGACAGTGCTCCCAGATCCATACAGTTATTACATGACTAACTTCAGGGTCTTGCTGATGCTGTTATTTACCTGAAGACACTTTAATTTAACCAAAGGCAAATGAATGCAATTCCTTAGATAGAAAAATGTGTTTCTGCAAGATCTATTTCCAAAAGAACTAAGATTTGATTTTTGTTTTCATAAAGGATTAAATACTATCTAGGCTGGTAAGGGTTTATAAAGCTGTGAATGGTCAAACCAGTGAGTCTACAACAAAGTCACCACGCCACTCCATGCTTGGCGATGAGAGTAAGGTTCAGCATGAGAGATTATCTGATTCTCCTCTTAGACCACTAGGTCAGATTTGAATTGGAGTATCTTCAGGTACCAGGATTAAAGTGAAAAATAATTTTTTCCTTCATCTTTCCCCAGCATTATCTCAGGTCAGATTATGACAACATGTGCCAAAAAGAACATTTAAGAAATATTGGAGAAATGGGCTAATAGTCCTTTTTCAGAAATGAAAATTTAACTTTCTAAAATGTGACCCAAAAATGTAATATGAAATAACCTAGGTAACTGCGTTGTAAAGGGAGCAATATCTAAAATAAAAAGGAGTATTATTCAGAGTTTCTCCAAGGCCTGCTATAGCTCTTCTCTAGTTAAGAATGACCTGTCACCACAAGCTGCTTTATTCTTTAACTCTTACCAAAGTGCTACTGCATGTGTAAAACAAATAATCATCATCATCATCATATATATATATAAACTCAAAAATAAGTTGTTTTAAATAAGTCCAGCTGTTTTGCTGCCTGCAGCCAAAGATCTAATTTGAATGCTTAAATTTATAAAATAAAAATCAAACACTGTTCTGAAGTCCTGCTTTCAAACACTCTTCAGAGTTGACCTGAAATCATTTCAACTAATTTAAGAGGTACATTAAACAAACAACCAGATCATTTTGAGCACACATGTCAAAATCAGCAGTTAATATTTACCAGTTGTACAACACCTGCATTCTGACAAGTCCTCTAATAAAAATAGTGCCACAAACTTTACGGTGACACCAGATACAACTGAATTGTAGCTATGGGCAGCAGTGAATCTTTCCTGTCACGCTGGGGCACAGATAAAAGTGCACATAACCTCCCCCATGGGTTAGGGTCTTAACCTGGTGGAAGCAACACAAATATGTTGGGGAACAACTGGGATGGGAGTCCTGCACTGATGGGATGTTCTGCCATGTATTACCCCGAGCAGGCCCAGGAAAATTAGTTCCTTTGGGCCTGCTTTTGGCCTACCCACCAGAGACCATTGTTCCTCAAAGGCACCTGGTCCTATCCCTTCTCTCAGCATCTTGTGGGACAGCCACAACTTTTGTTCTGCTTCAGTGAACTGGTACTGTATCAGAGAGAAATATTTTCTTGCTACCCCAGACTCAAGCAGTTCAGAAATTCCTAAATTCATTCATTTGGTTCTTTGATGTGTTCTGTTACAAAGCATGTCTGAAATGATCAGAAGGTCTTTGAGTGAGCTTAACCTAGGCAGAAATTAAATGCTCTCTGCAGGTCTAATCATTGGCACCTCCTGAATCCTCTGAGACCAGATTCCACCTTCTCTGTTTGAAGCTAGATGACACCCTTGGCTAAGCTCCATACTTCTGATCATGGGAGTGACCCTCAGTGTCAAAAATCCTATTGAAAACATTGCTGCATTAGCTACCAACTTGTTTGATTAACATGAAAGGGAGTTTAATGTAAACAATATTTCTAGATAACCAAGCCATCACATAACCCATCCTTTTTTTCCCCCTCAGCCTTTTTCAGTACGTTTAACTTTGGCTACTATTAAAAAACAAAAACAGAAATGTAGTACTTGATATTTCTCTTCTTAATATAAGTACAATTAAATAATTAAAAAAAGTATCAACATATAAGTAAATGTCTGAATATCAAGATACATAAATAGGGATTCCTTGTGGGAATACAGTAGTTAAAATGACCCAAAGCTGTAGCTGTTTCTCTCAAAAAACAAAAACCCTACACAGAAGTCCAAAAGAAAAGTTAAATAAACCGTACAGAAATGGGAATCCTATTTAAGTGTCAAAGCAAGAAAGATGCTCAGATTTTTATAGATAGATATAAAAATAAGAACCACCGCAATGCCTATAAGCATTTTTTTTTTTTGCCATTTATAAGGTGCGGGGTGTGTGTGGGGGGGAAGTAAAGAAAATCAGGGGGAGAAATAAACGCCAAACAGGACGTGCGGTGTCCCCCTCCCCCCATCATCAAAATTCCACTCTCTGGAATAAACAACTTGGTTAAAAAGTGAAGTCAAGGGTACAAAACCTTTCTTTTATTCACAGCATTGCTAATACGGAAGCATTCACAGTTTCCCTCGGCAAGGCCTCGCTGGCTCCAGCGGACGCAGGTGGACGCCGGCACGCGGGGTCGGCGCGTCCAGGTCTGCCGAGGGCCGCGGGCCGGTGGCGGGAGCGAACTGCGCGGGCTTCGGTAAGTGCAGGAGGCCGAGGGGGGCCTGGACGGCAGGCTCTCCCCCGGGTGCGCGGTCGGCCCCCGGGGAGGAGGAGGAGGAGGACAGCCAGGGCGGCCAGGACGCGGGCCTCACTCAGTAGGGGCGCCACACGGCCTCCTCCAGGCGCGCGGCGGGCGCCATGTTGGTGGGCGAGTTGCTGTGGCTGCCCTCGGCTTCCACCACGTCGCTCTGGTTCGGGAGGCTGGGGTTGAGCAGCGCCGCGCCGGTGGACGCGTTGGTGCAGGGCGGCAGGATGCGCGGCGGCGAGCGCTCGCCGCCCACCACCGAGAACTGGTAGGAGCCGGCCGAGGCGCCGTAGTAGAGGTGGTAGGGCGGCGAGCCCGCGGGGAACGGGCCGCCCTGCGCCTGCGACGAGCCGGGGTAGGGCGGCGGCAGGTACGTGTGGTAGCGCGAGGCCGAGCTCATGGCCGACATGCCGATGCCGATGCCCGACGTCACCGGCGTGGGCGAGTAGGTGAAGGCGCCCGGGTAGTGCATGCGCGGGTCCGAGATGGAGGGCAGCGCGGGGAACTGGCGCGGGTCTCCGAAGGCCGTCAGGTCCGGCGCGGCGGCTGCGGGCGGGAGAGAAAGGGACGCGTGACTGCGCGGCAAGGATGGCGGGACCGACGGGGGGGCGGCGGCGGCGGCGGCGCAGGCCGAGCCACTTCCGCCAGAACGCGCCTGCGCAGGAAGCGCAGGGCCGCCCGGGAATACCCAGAATGCCACGCATCCGAAGTCGGTCCTTACCTGGGGTGCTGCCTCTCGGGAAGAAGGGGCTTTCTACCCAAAATGCTCTGAGCGCGGAAGGAGAGGATTACCCAGGATGTCATGCGCCCCGAAAATGAAAAACACCCAGAATGCCACTACCCGGAAGTGAAGGTCTACCTAGCATGGCATGCACCGGAAGTGGAGGACCATCTAGAATTGCACGTGCCGGAAGTGGAGGATGACCTGCAAAGCTAAGCACCCACCAGTAGATGATTACCCAGAATGCTCTGCGCCCGGGTTGATGGTAAGAAAAGCGCTGAATAATAGCAGAAAATAACACGGGACATCGCGTACGATGGCATGTGATAGAAGATGTGATGCAAGTAGTGTAATAAACATGTTTGGTATTTTCATAGGACAGCCATGATGTAATATGCATAATACTGATAAAGATAGTTATAAACCCAGACTGGCAAACCTGCAGCCCATCAGCCAAGTAGAGCTGAGGCCGATTGCCTTGCATATCACAGGAGAAAGAGTTCTACTTTATTAAGTGTTTAACACAAATCCTAAAGATAATATTTAGTGATACATGAAAAAATACAGAAAAATTAAAACTCCATTATCTATAGATAGGAACAAAGCCTCTCTCATTCTTTCATATTTTGCCTCTGGTTGCTTTAGAGTGATTATGACAGAGACTGTAGGGGCCACAAAGTCTAAAATATTCTTTGGCCTGATACTGAAAAAATGTGCCTGCCTTTTATTGATATGAATGAACATTAATATGGATTAATATATTGGCAACTCATATTGTCAATAAGTGATCAATTCATTGCAGAGTTAACACGTTAATTATCAATGTATTATTATATTGACATTAATAAACAGCAACTTAGGAATGTGGATATCTTCATATATTACTACTAGAATATGTTACACATAGTACCTAATATGTTCTATATAATATTTAGGTTGAACCATAGAAATGGTCCATTTTTGCAGGCTTTGAGCAGTTGAAAGTTGGGTGATTTCCTGTTATCCAACATAACACATGCCAAATGAAGTACTGAATTATCATTAGCACTCACCTCTCTCTCCACATCTACCTCACAGTGATTCCACATTTTTTAGAAACAATACAGCTTTGAGTTCACCTGGTTTTCTATAATATGTGCCTTATTGGTTTGTTAACATGAACGTATATAGGGCTTTGATTTATCTCCTCCACATGTCAAACTTTTGCACATCTCTAAATTTGTTAGGATTCAGTTTTACAAACTGGCTTTGGCTGTCCTGTCTACATTTTGCCTACCTCCATGCTACCCTTGGGAATTTTTAGAGGGTGGTATGAATTCCAGGAAAGGTTTCTGAATAGATCAGAGTTTATCAGATTATTTGGAGGGGTGGTTGAGGGCTGCCTTGTACATTGTCGGATGTCCTCTAGAGTGACAACCCAAATGTGCCCTGTCATTGCCAAATAACATGAAGGTGGGTATGAGGGAGGGGTAGCCGGGCCTGGCTGAGAACTATGACTCTAGGATAGCGTCCTAGGGTAGGGTCTGTCCTTCAGAATTACTGATTAAATGAGCAGGCCAAAACCACATCTACAAACTCAAAAACAGCAACAAAACAAAAAAGTTATAATTCAATGTTTAAAACTTTAAGCTCTCAACTCAGCACATGGAATAAATTTAAGTTCTGATGGCACAGGTCCTGTGTTCTTTTGGGTTCAGGCTGGCAGGAGATACTTGAGGGTGCTTGCCCTGAAAGGAAAGCTACCAGGGTAGATTAATCTGTTTTTGGAAGGCATTGGTTGTTGATCAACTTCCTCATATTTCAAGCCTATTATTCCAGCAAGGAGAGCTAGTTTGATGGGTGTTTCTCTGTCTCTTTGTCAATCTCTTCCTCTTTCTCCCTCTGTCCTCCAGTCCTTCCCCCCCCTCTGTCTCTCTGTGTCTCTCTCTCTTTCTCTCTCACAGCTCCTTCCTTTCATTCTTCCCTCCATGTAATGATCTTTTATTGCTCTAACACATTTTTCAAAATGGACTGTATATTTGGGGTGAATGGGATGCGGGGATAGACTACTCATCAGATAGTCAATTAAAGTTTATAGAAACAGTGGAGGTCTGCAGCAAATCCCTCCATTAATGAGGAAACCAGGAGTCTGACTTTCAAACAAACATTCCTGTTAATCTTTTCAAAGCGAGTCAGACATGTGGGCAGGGAAAATGTTGTAAACTGACAGCGATTCTGGGGCTGCCCTTCCTTGGCTACTCACTAGCTTATTCTACAGCCAGGCCACACCTCATTCCGCAGGGTTCATCCCTGCCCCCTAGCTGGAGCCATCTGTGAGCAAGCCCTGTGTCACTTGTTTTGCTTGCACAGAGAGCTGTGACATGTTTGAGAGTTAACAGGAAGCTTGACTCCATTTTTCCAGTTAGATATACATATATATAGTCTAGGGAGAAGCCGGGGTAGAAGGAAAAGCATTAGGCAAATAAAAAATCAATTTGTTATCATCTCATGTAATGCTCTGGACACAAATAAATGACTCTGCCCATTATTTTTCTTGCTTCATTTGCCCTGAGACAAAAAGGTGAATTCACTGGAAAAATGAATGAAAGGTCACCATGTTTCACAGCAGTGTCTGGACATGCTCTGCCAGTTGGTTCCAACCACTGCATGGTAATGTGGTGATGGTACCAAGTTACTGGAATCCTGAGTGAGTCTGCAATTTGTCATGGGCATAAGTCCTGGAATAATGTTACAGACTCAGCTGTTGGGAGAAAATAGTTCTTTCACTTGTGGGAAGAATATTTGAAAGATCTGAAATATTGCCTGTGATTCTTCTTCTGCCTACATAGTAGCACTGTCATTTTATAAAACATCATCCACTGGGTCAAATTCTTCTTCTCCTGTCTCTCTGACTCTCTATCTTTACACACATATATACACACACATATTCTGGTGATAAAACAACTTAGATCCACTGGATATGCTCAGATTCAAATTCAATTGCTCTGTTCAAAGACTGGTTTTCTTTCATCTTCTCTCTCTCTCTCTCTCTCGTGTGTGTGTGTGTGTGTGTGTGTGTGTGTGTGCGCGCGTGCATGTGTGCACATGCACGTGTGCACTGGTCCTAGAGCTTAAACTCCCCCCTACCTCCAGCCTGGGTACTGTCCCTGAGCTCCTTTTGCTCAAGGCTAGCACTCTAGCATAACTGTACTTCCTCCACTTCTGGCTTTTTAGAATTTTTTTGATAGTTAATTGGAGATAAAGAGTTTTACAAACTTTCCTGTCTCAGTTGGCTTTGAACCATGATCCTCAGATCTCAGCTTCTTGAGTAGCTAGGATTACAGGTGTGAGCCACTGGCACCCAACTTGGTTTTCATCTGTAAGTCTGGTTTGACATCCCTAATTAAGACTCATCAGTCATACATAATTTACCCACGTAGCCATCGCTCATGTATCCTTTTGGCTGGTTTGGTGTCCTCTTATTCAATTCTATAGCAGTATGAGTGGAAGTGGAGACCCTTGATATTCACAGGGAGCTTTTTTTTTTAAGAGTAAGAAATCTGGGGATTAGGAGGTTCAGTTATTTTACTTGGATCGATGGTGCTAAATATTTGCTAGGACAGCTCTTTGCTCTGTAGCTTTACATGGATGAAAGCAGCTCTGCTCCAGCCCCTCCCACTGCCCCCACAGGATTAACCAACCTGAGCAGATAATGGCTGCCTTAAAAGGATCTTTTGCATGACTCAGATTAATGCAAGCTGTCTGTCGCCCAGGTTGGCAGCTAAACATTAATTTTTTTTTTTTACAAAAAGAAAAAAGAAAAGTAAACCTCCAGATGACAACTCTTTTCAGACAAGGTGTGGAGTCTGTCTGCAAAGGACAGAGAGAGAGCGAGAGCGAGAGAGAGAGAGAGAGAGAGACAGACAGACAGACAGACAGACAGACAGACAGACACAGAGATCTCAACCAGAGCCCCAGTCCCCAGGACAGAAGCAAGCCCCGGTGGGGTTAGGCATAGGCTGAGGGGCAGTGCACAGAGCTGTGGGGTGAGGATGAAAATGTGAAGCAGCCACAGAGGAGTGTCAAGTTTTCAAAGCCTTCGGCCTGGGCAGCCACTTTCTTTCATGTGTCCCAGTCTTATCCTGCCCCCAGGTTTATGACAACACTTTTCAGGCCTGTGCTCCAGGCTTGATTTCTCAGAGGAAGTCCTGCCAAGTTAAAGAGCAATCTTCCATGCTGTACTCTGCCACTGGTGAAAACTCGTCTGGAATCCTTTGGTCCTCCCTCCCAAGACAACAAAGGGTCATCCCTGAGTGCAGATGTGGGACATGGCTGGGTCACAGTCCCATGCGGAAAAGCATCCTTCTTACTCTTTGGGTAATCAAAGGCTGCTTATGGAGAAGCAGAGCTGGGATTTGAGATTCGAAGTACACCTTTTATTTATATCTTTAACAAGACGCCACCATTACGTCTGAACACTGGCCAGCTAGAGGGGCTGGCCCCTAGAGTTCTTGGACACTGAGGTGCCAATCTTGGGTGGAGACCAAGTCCGATGGTTTATGTAATAAATTCCAAGGGACAGACCCACAGCAGGGACATTTCCAAGGGAAACAGTCATTGTTGCAGATGTAGCCCGTGGCCAGCGGGCTGTGCAGTGCTACCATGCAGTACTAGAACAATCGGGAAAAGGTGACAAGTGCCTTTGGAATCAACCTCTGTCTCCAAGGGATAGGCTTTAGAGACAGCAAGTTTAACAGATGCCACAGTTCCCGTGGGTCTCTCCCTACCCCGTTAAACTAACAGGTGTTAGGAAAATGCTGGTATGGATGGCCAAACAGTGTGAAAACTGAGCACCTACGCTGGTTCTTTCCTACTTTGCCATCGCACCCAACTTGGGGGTGGGGAGAACTGCCCACCTCCTGTGGACAGTTACCAATAACTAGAGACATTTCTGATGGTCAGTCTTATGGGGGGAGGGGTGCCCCTGGCATCTCGAAGCCAGAGGTGCTGCTGCAGATGCTGCAGGGCACAGGAGAGCCCTCCCGCAAGCAAGAGTTCTTTGGCCCAAGTGTCAGCGCTGCTGTGATGCTGCGGAGTGGCTCTGAGAAGTCATTCTGTGAAACTCGAAGCAGCTCAGGCATCTGGAGGAACCTCAAGTAATCACGACTGTCTGGCAACACCACATTGCACAAGATTTCAACTGGCAGACACAAACTCCTTTGCCCCTTTGCCTGCTCCCCTAATCTGCTATCATCTGATCCCTGGGCTTTTTGAAAAGCTAAACCCACCCCTCCCCCTGCACACATGCAAGTGCGTTTGTAGGCTTCATCATGCTGAAGTCCTCTGAAGGATTTTCACCCTTTGGTTCAGCTCCAATTTCAAAGCCCCAAACATTAAGTTGCTTCTTTTGCCTTCCACAAAGGAATTTTTCTCTGTAACTTCAATTTCCCTGCCCACGAGCAAAGGTGAGCGCCAAGCCCACAGGGCTGGCAGGTTAAATGACTAATATTTAATGAGCTCGTATTAACAACAATTATACTAACCATGACACCTGAGCTCTCGGTCCTTCCTTCAGCCTGAACAGCTCTCAGTTGGGAATGCCTCATGGGGGCGGGGAGAGGGGGGACTAGCTTCTTCCTATCCCACATGGACTCCATGGACGTACTGTTTGCAGGCTTGTGAATTCATCACCACCATGTGGACCAGACCGGTCAGTCTAGAATTCATTTGGGGTGACTTCTTGTCTTTCCTTTCTTTCGGTGTGTGTGTGCGCACATACCAGTACTGAAGCTTGAACTCAGTGTCTGGATACTGTCCCTTAGCTTTTTTGCTCAAGGCTAACACTGTACCACTTGAGCCTCAACTCCACTTTTGGCTTTTTGGTGGTTAATTGGAGATAAGTGTCTCATAGAGTTTCCTGCCTGGGCTAGCTTTGAACCGTGATCCTCAGATCTCAGACTGCTGAGCACAAGCATGAGCTACCAGCACTGGCCAGGAATGATTTCTTTACTGAAGGTGCAAAATAATGACCTTTTGATATTGTGACCTTTCGAACTATTATCCCTTTATCCATTACCCCTCTCTGGCAGACATGAGCAATCTCTGAGTTCCTGAGGAACTGACTTCCAAAAGAAAATCTTCCTCCACGTTCACAATCTAACTTTTAAGTGTCAAACCAAACCAGCCAATCAGACAAACCGAACCCAGTGCGTGGGCCTGGGACAGTCATGTCTCTCTGGAAACCGTATTTTGTTCAGTGAATTATATGCTGCTCACCCCCTGTGTTCCCCTCCTCTAGTCTCCAACACCTTCCTCTCTAGCTGGGTTGCAAATATGTTCTCAAGAGGCTTACACGAGAGTCGACTGGAAAGTTCTGCAGAGAGGCTCGTCATGCCGCTGGCACGTCCAGGTGAAATGGGCGTTGCTGGGTGCACGGAAGGAGGGGCGATGGATCCCAGGTACTGGTAGGACTGATCGTAGGACCATGGTGGGGATGGCTGGATCTGCCTGGTGTCTGCAGAGAATCAGGTTCCCGGTTAAGTGGGGTGGGATTTTTTAAAAAAAGAAAGAAACCTCTACATGCAAAACTAGGAACCTTGGTTTTAATTGCTGTGCATGCTTGTAGCCTGTTTACCAGTGTTTACTAAGCATGCTGAACCCAACTCTCCCATGCCTCTGTTGGATAATTCCATACCCCGCCCCAAACATGAGCACACACTGGAGCTTTTGTCTGCTAACTCTTCCTTCCAAAAGTTTTATTTAATCATATTAATAATGATGTCTGCATTAATAATAATGTGCGAAGCTCTAGACCATCAAATAACTTCAGGTACAGAATGTTCTGCTTCAGACTTACCAGTAATTATAATTATCATAAAAATATTTTATAAACATGGGTAATCTTCTGTCTATCTGGATTAGGTAGAAGAATGTAAAATTTGGGGACTTTTTTTGTACCTTGGGCAAAAATATTCTATAGGCTTGGATGTATTATTTAGGCAAGTGTCTTCTAAGAATAATGACAAAAGTGAGGAGGAGAAGAGAAGAAAAGAATGAGAAGAGAGCAACCAAAACAAGACACATGTATATAGGAACAGGAAAAAAAATGACAGCCTGGAAGATCTGGCAGGGAAGCTGGCAATAAACTGCAACAACCAGTTGTAAGACAAGAGTGGCTTTATCAAATCAGCCAGGGGCTTCTTTTCAACAGCTGAAGTTGTCTACTTTTTTTTTTAATGGCCAGAGCTATCTTTTTGAGCTTGAAGTGTGCTGTAGATTGCCATTGTAAGAGGCCTGGGATAAAGCAGAGACCAAAGCCTAGCTTCCAACTATTGAGACACAATGAATTTTGTGCATCTGACTCCAGCATTCAGAGGAATCTTTGTTTTGTTGAAGCGGGGTATCACCTTGTTTCCCCAATTGGCCTCTAACTTGCTTGAGCCTCCTGAGTCCTGGGATAATAGGAGTGTATCCCACACCTTGTTGAAGTCTTCGTTGTCAAAAGCATCACGTTGTTTGCAGTGTGTATGTGTGTGTTTGTGTGTGTGTGTGTCTAGGGGGAGTGAGACTATTCGTAGGCAAAATGAACAAGGAAATTTGTACTTTTCTTGAAAGTTAAATGTTAATTTTTTTTTCATGCCACCTTCTTGGTGGACAAAGAGAACAGCAATCCAGGAAGGCAGAGTTCTTTAGGAAAATACTGGGTGCCCATTTTGCATATGTCATTAGCTAAAGAAATGAGCTGTTCCTGATAATTATAAAATATTTATATCTGCTGCCTCTGGGGGCTTTTCATTTAATCAAAGTTTATCTCTTTTGAAGTGTATCTGTTTTTCTATTTATCTCTTTGAAGTTCCCCCAGTGGACTACAGAATCAGACCTCAGGGGACCAAGACTTCCTCCTCTCCTTCTCTGGACAGTCAGCCTTCCTGCCTCACACGGCTTCTCCCCTGCCCTCTCCTACTTCACCTCTTCACTTCTTCTCTTCCCTTTCCTTAAAACAATGGAATATATAAATCTTAAAAACCCCTCACTGGTTCCTGTGGAAAATACTTTAACTTGGAATCTTTGAAATCCAGTAGTAAAGAAAGATCTTCATTTCCGTTTACATTTTGGAGGATTTGGAGAGATGGCAAGGAATAAAAGAGTTGGCCCATGGTAAACTCAGCAGAAACGAAAATGTTCAAATGCAGGTGGAACTCCCGTGTAATCTCACAGACAGGGCAGGCTGTGCTGCCACACCATGTTAGGCGAGTGTTATACTCCACACAGGAGGGGAAAAAATGCCACCAGATACGCTCAGATAGTTTCTATAGGCCGTGCTTATGTTCTAGATACATCCATTTACCAAGTGAGCATATAGTGCGCAAATATTTTAATCACTTAAAAAGTAAACAAAAGAGGTTTTATAATTGTCATAAAGCCCTCTGGGGTGTGAATTGTGGGATAGTAATTCATGCCTTGTTCTGTAGACAGCCTAGCACTCAGACCCCGTGTCGAAAACCACACTAAGCATAAAGTATTATGCCATGATTCATGCTCTGTCATGTTTTACTGTAGTGAAAAAGTTGTGCTCGGCTTTTCTAAACTCATAATTAAACCATGCCAACGTTGCATAATATTTCACAGCCTTTTAAAAATATGCTTTGGTAAAATGATCTTTATGATTAAAGTCCAAGTTCTATGATTTTTTTTTAAACACAGGGTTATAGACTCAACAGCATCTTGCTTCACACCGTGACTTAGCTTTCCCCATGCTGGAGTGCAGCTGTACTATGCAAGCTGAAGTTCTCCCTTCCCTCAGCTCTCATTCCTGTGCCCAGAGGAACTGTGCTTGGGCTCCCTGGCCCTGGTGGGCCGGCCAGAAGGTGGTGATGGAGAGCCTTTCTCTACATTTCTGGGTTTTTTCTCCTCTTGTATTACGAAAGAGAGAAAGGAAGGAAGGAAGGAAGGAAGGAAGGAAGGAAGGAAGGAAGGAAGGAAGGAGGAAGGAAGGAAGGAAGGAAGGAAGGAAGGAAGAAAGGAAGGAAGGAAGGAAGGAAGGAAGGAAGGAAGGGGGAGGAAGGGAGGGAGGGAGGAAGCAAGCAAACCCAGGCACAATAATAGGCACAATAATAGAGTGCCTTCTGTGTTTAACATCAAGTACCATCTTTTCTGGGCTGAGACCACCATGAAGACATGAAAGCAAGCATAGAAATGGTAGTGCCTCAGTAAGCCTAGAGTCCTGGACTGACAGGCAGAAGCAGGCTCCTGGCCTGTGTACTGGTGGGTTAATCACACATGCCTTCTTATTTACCTCTGACAGTCAATGAGCTCTAAGCCCTTCCCTGGCTGAGGGAGCATGGTGACATTCTCATTCAAAGAAGTTTTACTGGGTAGTCCTTGGTGATGCTCGTGGGCTAAGCAGAGTCAGGGAAGACTCAAGTGAGGAATGTGAAGTGAGGAATGGTGCTTGTAATCATAACTATGTGTTTTGTGGGAAGAGGAAGTGGGGAGAGATAAGAAGAGAGTTATCTAGTAAAGGCCTTAGGCTGAGGAAAAGAACTACCGTCAGTCATTCTCCAAAGCCCAGAGATACTTGTTCTTGAAGAAAGGCATTTTCTCCGGTTAATCCATCAAAAAGCACAAAAGTTTGTTAAACATATATTGTGTGCCAGGCGTGTGCTAATTTAGTCAGAAAGAATATGGTCTCAGTCCCCCTGAAACTTGCAGGAATAAAGCCCAGAGAAAACGCCATGGTGCTTGGAAAGGCTTCTTTCTCTCATCATACTGAGAGCTGTTGCATTTATTTAGTCACTCATTCATTCATTCATCCCTCACATCATGAAGTTATTCCCTGTTCATTCACTAATGTTTCCACAAATATTACTGCTAGCACCATTGTGTTGAGGACTCACCAGTAAATGGATTATAACCCCTGCCTTATGGGAATTACAGAACTGGGATCATTTAAGGGCTGTATCTGGGCTGACTGCTAAATTAGCTGTCTACTTGGGACTTGCAAATAGGTATTCCCAAGGTAGAGGAAAGAACTCTAGTGGTGTTTGTCACATGCTTATATTCTGCCTGGGAAAGCATAGAACTTAAGTCAGACAGATTTCAGTTGGAATTCTGCCTTTACTATGAACTAGCTTTCTGACTTCAGGAGGGTCTCATACTTTTGTGGTCCACAGTTTTTCTGATTTTCAAGGGCAATAGTGAGGAATAAATAAATAATAAATAAAATGCAATAGAAAATATAAAATATGTAAACTATAAATAAAAAATGAAAGTAAAAAACCATTTAGAGAGAAAGCATCACAATTTCTGCCCATAGTAAATGTCTGAGTCATTTTTCTTTTTATCATTGTATTACTAAAAAGGAAAAGAAATACCTTCAAAGAAATGTATCTGCTATTTCCTGGTGGGGCAATACACACTTAATCCAGGGTGGTGTTTGGGTACTACTGTTCTGCTTAGCTAAAAGGTTGGTAGCCACACTCTTTAGTTCTGAAGGAGTTAGGCTCAGGAAATTAAACAGTAAAAGAGTAAGGAAAAAAAATTCGAGGAGGATGAAGACAAGAATTCCATCTCTCAACTGACTCCATTTTTTAAGAAATAGATTAGAAAATTTAAATCGGAGTCTTTCTGTATCTTACTTGTTTCATGATGAATATTGTTTTGACTTAGCTACTTTACCAAGGCCATTTTGTAAAAGGTTAGTTTCAGTTTCTTGATTAGCAAATAATGGGTAAAAAAAAAAAAAAGAAGTCCCCTTTCCACATTCCTGAGTTCCACTCCCTTCTATCTGAAATGAAAGGAAAAGGGGGGTTGGTGGGAGTGGGCTGGGGAAGGGGAGACTGAGAACAGCAGAAAGCTCAAGGTTCCACTGCACATATCATTTTATAGAAAATTACAGTGTGTGTGCACGTGTGCATTCACACACACAATGTAGCAGTGTCAAAATCTATCTAGAGTCAACAATGACTCTATCAGGAAATTTGTGTCTAAATGGCTTATTCCCTCCAGTTTCGGCTCCAAAATGTGAAGAACTAGATTCACCATGTTTGTCTTTACAGGAAAAAGAATGTACTGAATACATTAAAAATCCCTGACTTTCTTTTCTTTTTTTTTGGGGGGGGGGGTCCGACTGTGGGGCCTGAACTCTGGGCCTGGGCGCTGTCCCTCAGCTCTTCAGCTCAAGGATAGCACTCTACCACTTGAGTCACAGTGCTACTTCCGGGTTTTTTCTTTTTGCTTATGTGGTGCTGAGGAATCGAACCCAGGGCCTCATGCATGCAAGGCAAGTGCTCTACCTCTGAGCCACCTTCCTAGCCCCTCCCTAACTTTTCTTGGATCTACTAGAGACTTGGAATTGAAGGACAAACTGCCACTGCAGAATTCTTGAGAGGTAGACAAATACTGAGAACCACAGTGAAGTCTGCTTACCAAGAACAGAAGCTGCTGGACTCACAAACAGATGGGAACACAGAATGCGTATTTGACAAGCCGGTGGCTAAGCATAGGTGAGTACAA